GTAGAGTATTCTAGTGATTGAGTGCTTTATTTATATATAAGCTTTAAATTAAAAAAAAATTTCAGTATGTATGTTATTTTTACTCCCAGACCTCGTTCAAAAACCTAGCCATTTGTCTAAAAAAATCCTCTGCAGCATTTAAATTAAATCTCTCTCTATCCTTATGCAGCAATGACTATCCATTTGCTAAAATAAATATTTTCCTAAATGAAATAAATTATTCAATCACTACAAAAGATATCTTCCTTGTGACAAAAAACAAAAACAAAAACACAGCCATATCAAGCTCCCAATCTGTTGGGCAATGCATCATCATAATGATAAACAAATTACTGTCCTTGGTAAATTCAATGAATACTATTTAAAAGGAGGACTGAAGCCAAATAGGAATTACTAATAGAGATAAAGCAGGGAGTTAGCAAGGTCCTTTGAAGTTGAACATATGCATTTTAACAGGCATTATCAGCCTTCCATGTTTTTAAGAATGATGCATTAGGCACCACTGAATACTCAAGGGAGAGCCTTTAAGGCATTTCACAAAGTATGACCTAGTTTTAACGTGAGTATTTATCAGGGGGTATTAACATCATGCTTTAAAATAATCATAACAATAGAATAAAGCACATTGGTCTATCAACACATTTATTCAACAACTATTTATAATGTGTAAGATGCCGTCAAAGTCTGTTCTAGAGCTCAAGTCTAAAATTTGTTTTGTTTTCCTCCAAACAGAAAGTTCTTCATAATGTTTTAGGACATCAGAAACTCTTAAGTTGGTAATCAAGAGACTTTGTCCTTTTCAAAATTTGTTACTTTGTTACTGAAGTATATAATAATATATAAAAGGACATATTTCTTAAGTTTACATCTCACTGAATCTTCACCAAGTATACAACTCTATAACCAATGCCAGATTAAGAAACAGAACATTACATATATCCCAGAAGCTCTTTATACCCCCTGCCAGTCATCCCACCTCCACAGGTAACCACTATCCTTCCTCTAACGGGATAAGCTTTACCCTGATGTTGTACTTTATGTAACAGAAGCATTCACTATGGGCTCTTTTGTTACCAGCTTCTTCCCGTAGTACTGTAAGCAGGATTCAGCTGCATGGCTGCATGTAGTTAGACTGTTCATTTTCATTGCTGTATAGTATTCTACACTGTGTGTGTGTGTGTGTGTGTGTGTGTGTGTGTGTGTGTGTGTGTGACAGAGACAGAGAGTGTGTGTGTGTGTTATATATTCTTCTTTTTTTGGAAAGGTGAGTGGTTTTGGTTTGGAGCTATTACAAGTAGTGATGCTAGGAACATTCTAATGCATACCTTTTGGTGAGTACGTAAGTATACAACTAGGAATGGAATTGCTAGATCATATATCCTTATTACTTTGTAAATATATTTTCAAAATTGAAAAATGGGAAAAAAATAATCTAGAAAAAACCCAAATCACTTAAAAGCTCACCATTTACAGAGATATACAAAGTAAGAACTTAAAGGGACCTAACTCTAACCTATTTCTTACCATGTGTCAGATACCACATTTAGCAACCTGACATGACTCGTCCAGACTTTTTCTGTGCTGTGTGGTATTAATAAAGGCAGAACAATTATTAAAAGTGACAGTCAGGAGTGAAATTCTACCACGTGTTGAGTGAGAATATGAATTCGCATTTCAAAAACATCTAGTCACTAAAGTACAGGCAGGATTTCTGACCACATCATTGTAATTGAACTAAGAAGCACACACCGTGAGACTGGGAGGCTATTGCTGTCTTCACTGGTAGAGCAAACAGCTCTAGAAATGAGTTTACTGACATTTTAAAGTGCTTTCAGTGATCTTATAATTTGAATTGCACTCAACTGTGATCTCTGAAAGCTATAGCAAAATTTTACAGATTTATGGGTATTTATCATACAAGCATCTGAATGCAAGAACTTCCAATTCAAATTCTAGTAGACAGACATCACCAGAAAAATAAACTTAAATTCATCATGTTCAATTCCCTCAGTTTGCAACCCATTTTAAAAGTTTTTAAAAAAAATTAAATCTAAATATTTGGCACTATCTCTTTATATAAAGAGATATATCAACAATGAGATCCTTAAAAAAAAACACCCTCCCCCCCCAAAAAAAAACCCACTTCTTTTCTGATAGACAAATATTTTAAAATATTCCTACCACTTTAAATTTGCAAATGACCTAATCGTTCTCACCCTGGTTTCTTGCTTACATAAAAAGCAGTTCTGTTTTCTCCCATTACTTAAACCTTGTTTTTTTAAGTTACACTACTTAAATCTTGAGTAAATGACAGCTCTTGGTGGAAGCTCACTTGGTTCTCTTATTCTCTATTCTTTTCCTTTATTTTGGAATTTTCTAACCATTTTGAACTATCAGAAGAAAATAGAAGATAATATCTTACTTCTTAATTTTAGACCGAGCTGCAAATATGTTGAAGCCTCTTTGTGCTTTCAGATAAATGACTGTACAGTTGACCCTTGAACACTCTGGGTTTGAACTTCCTCGATCCACTGATACGTGGATATTTTTCAATAGTAAATACTACAGTGCTACACGGTCCATGGTGGATTGAACATGAGGATGATGAGGAAGCCTGGATATGGAAGGCCAACTTTAAATTATTCATGGATTATATGTTGTTCAAGGGTTAACTGTATTGTGCAAATGGTTAATTCCTCCAAAGTAGCCTTAGAAGTGTCCTAGTGTCTAAGATAAGATCCTCTGTCTCTTTCTCCCGAAGTTACCTGCACATGCAAATCTTACTTTAAAGAAAAACTGACATTTCTGAGTTTTAAAAACAATTCCCACTGAAACCTAACTGAATACTATTTGTAAGAAAAGTACATTTTCTTTTATACCTGAAATTTATTGAGTGCTTACATATACCATATCTAACCCAAGTCCTTGTAGGTATAATCTCAATTACTCCTCATCTCAAAAAAGGAAGGAAAGCTATAAAATAAATCATTACTATTGTGGTTGATATTCTCATTTAATAAATAAAATAAGGTACAGTGAAGTTAATTAACTTTCCTAAGACCATGCACTATCACATGTTGGGGCCAAGATGTGATGCCATGCAGAGTGACAACGAAGTTCACCTACTTAACCACCATGCCCTGTTGCTTCCCAGATTTGTACATATGTCTGTATATTCAAAATACTTCTAATTTATTCACTGCTCCCACAAAGGACTCTCAAGAATACTAAGAAATATCTTCAACACCCACAACCTAGAACAATTACTTTTAGGCAGCACCAATTTCCCTAGGGATTGGTTTGTCAAAAAAACTAAGATGGTTCATCAATACCAACTGAACATCTTAAGACCAATGGCCCCTACGTGCATATTCCAAAGGAAGAGGGATCCATTTAGGCATCCAAAGCCCAAGGAAAAGATCAGCAACTTGGATATGTATTAGCAGTTTAAGAGGAAGAACAAAATGTGTCCAAGATTCAGGGGAAGCAAATAAGGTCAAGAACAGATCAGCAGTACCTAAAGCTCAGAAAGGATGTACGCGAACCTACAAGACACATACCTTTCCTACTCATCACCCCAGAGTCAATGCCAAGTAAGCCTGCCTAATTAAGCCTAGTGTAATCACATACTTATGGTCTGCATGGGCAAGAGGCCAACCCCTTTTACAAGGTTTTCCTAATTCATGCTAGCATGGGCGCCCTGGAAAAAAGATGGGGACAAATCAAACACTGTAATACACTTTCAGTGGGGAAAAGGTGCAAGACCAGGTGTCAGAGCCACTGCAGGTAAACTTCCCCTTCTTACCAGTTTTACACTGAGCCGGCCCTGAGGAATACTGACTATTAATGGAGTCACAGTATTACTGGGATTTCATAAAGTTTAGGGATGCAAATCTCTAAATAACTTGCTTACCACTCGCTCCACTGCTTTTTCCCTCTCCTTTTCCAATCAGAAATCAATAAAGAAAAGTAAAAAAAGAGGTGGAAAGGTGGAAAGGCTGACCTCCTGCTGGGCAAGTCTAGAATAGCTTTAACCAAATGGCAGAATCAAAGAGGACTAGAGTATGGAGATTAGATGTGTCCACTGAACAAAAGGGGTCTATTCAGACCAGCTGATCGCTGTATCCAAGCTATGCAATGTTCTAGGGCAAATGACTTCATAGTTGTGTGCCTCAGTTTCCTTATTTGGAAAAATAGAAATGACAGTGCTTTTTTCACAGGGTTATGAGGAATGGAAATAAGGAATTTAACAGTATCTGGTATATCTTAAGCACTCAAAGATGTCAGCTGACTCAGCTCTTCCTTCTCTGAACACACATACAAATCTTTATGCCTCTCTTAAGGAATAATTTACCTCCTCCTTGCATTATAGTTATTTCTGTACTTATTATATTTTGTGTTATGAATGTTGCTCAATTTATATTTTGCAACATAGTTAATGTAAATTAAAGTAAGTATAGTTTTGGTTACCAATAATTTTTAAATGTTTTGTCACCTTTAACTCATAACTTATTGGCACATTGAAATCCCATACAATGGACAATTCAAGAGATGAAAGTTAAAAATTTTTTAAATACTTTTTAAAAGTATGTAAAATGAACACTGTGTCAAAAACTCAGATTCTCAAATGGAAGAAAATGTTTTGAAATATTAATTTTACATAAGCCTAGGAATATATTCTTAAGATACAGAATAAATATTTTTAAAGTAGCTACTGAAAACTTACAGTGAGTAAGGGCTTGTGTTGGGTGCTGAATGATACAATAATTATAGTAAAGGCACAGATAAGGAAACAAACTTGGTATCATTCTTGACAAGACACTGAAGTCTGAAACCATGGAATGAGAAGAAATGAGATGCCAATAAGACTATGTGAGATTTTTTACTCTGTCTAATACTATCAGACGTCAGTATTATATCAGATACTCTTGCATAATATCTGCATTAGTTAAAGACCACCACCTGCTTCAGAAAATAATCCCCAGACCCCAGTAGCTTACCCAGTCAATGTTTATTGCTCTCTCATGCAGTGTCCTGGCCAGGAGGTTCTCTTCCAAGTAGTGACCCAAGGATCCAGTCTCTAACCACCTAATGGCTGTGCATCTGGCTGGCTGATAAAGAGAAAAGAACATGCAGAATGGTAAGGGAAAATTAAGAGCACTGGCCTAGAAATGTACCCCAATATATTGTCTAAAGCTAATTGAAAGTCTCCACCCATATGCAAATATGCTGAAATAAGAATATGCAATAATAAGCAATGAATGTATATATGCAGAGTTAAGGATTTTACATTATTAAATATCAAATTTAAACTCCAGAAAATGAGACTGAGAGTTCTCAAAAAATACAGAGCAACTGACAGTGTACTAAAAAGTGTGGAAAACTGCTAAGTGGAATGCAGAATGAATCCAGAAGCTTCAGTGTCCATATACTGGGGCTTCCAAAATGACAACAAAGAAAGACTTGAGAGAGAAAATACAATGCTTAGGAACTTCTCCAAGCTGATAATATTTGCTACTGTCTAGATTGAAACAACCAAAACTATAATGCAAAGCAGGAACTTAAAACCCATTTCTAGGCACATCAGAGTGTAGTTTCAAACCAAAGATACAAGGAAAAGTCAGATTACTTATAATAGAAAAATAAAACTGTAATTGAGCTTCTAGTCAGAAACATACGACAAAGAAAGTCTGTGAAGAGAGCTTAAAATTAAGAGAGAAAAAGAAAAATTTCAAACATAGAATTGTATGTATCACTGAAGAGTGACAGAAAGACCACCATTTTCATACATACAAAAACTCGAAAATGGTACCATTAAAGAACACATTCTGAAAGAGAAAATGAAACATGCATTCCAACAAAAATGGAAGTGAAACTAGAAAAAGGAATAGGGTACAAGAAGCAATGGTAAACAAAACAAATCAAAACATCTGGAACTCATTAAATCTAAGTAAATAAGTAAAATATCACGCTAGTAAAAATCTGGAACCAAAATTCTAAATAGTAGAAGCATTAGAATTTGAAATCACAAGAGGAAAGGGCAGACAATAATGTAACCATGCTGAGTTTTTTGTATTGTATGCTGGAGCGTTGTAACTATAGATTTACTAGAAAATTACAAGAAGATAAATACTTAAAAATTTAACAGCAATTTGTAGGATAAAAATTAAAATAGAAAACTAGAATGGAAAATTTATATTTGAAAATAGGACATGAAAAGAAATAAACAGATTCAGTAAATCCAACAAAACACCAAAAAGGGAGGAAGGAGAAAATATAGAAAGCGTACTACTAAACAGAAAAGAAATAACAGAAGTCGGGAAGATTAAATTAAAATCATAGCATATATGAAAGGTTCAAAATCTCCCCTTAAATCCTCATAATAAATTTAAAATGAATGGAGGAAAACAACTTTGGTAGGCTGAATATAAAGGAATCAGAAAATATATACCAAAACAGTTAAAATGAAAAAAATAATGTTGTAGATATATTATTAAGCAAAAAAAAAAAAAAAAGAATCAGTATGATGGAGTATCATCTCATACTGACAAATGGAGTGTTTTATCTAGATGATGAGACAGTCATGGACTTTATTCATTAAACAAAATCATTTTTAAATGTGTAAAGCATAAACTCATGTAATTCACGGACAACTTAGTAAATTAACAATAACTGTGGGAGACATTAACACAACTCTTATCAGAAATCATTAAGTCAGGGGTACAAAAAAACAACAAAGTTCTCAAACTTGAATCACAACATTAACAAGCTTGACTATACACAGTTACAGAACTGCAATAAAATCCCATATATCCTCAAATATGTATCAGTATTTATACAAGTAGACTAAATATCAATGACAAAAAATCTCAGCAGTCCAGAAGAATGACTATCACACAGGAAAACTCAACAACCAAAACAGTGACCAAAAATAATATATCAAGATACATGATAACATACTTCTAAATTATTCATGAGGATCAAAAGTGGAAGTTAAAAATGATTTAGAATTAAAATGACAGCCAAAATTCTATACATCCTAAACTGTTGGATGTAGTAAGTGACAGAGGGAAATTTCTATCCTGAAATATGTAAATTAGAAAAATTTTTAAAGAGCATGAAAAGTAATTAACTAAGCTACTAACACTAGAGATGAGAAAAATAGTGACAAACTTAAAATTGAACAAATTAATGAAGTGAAAAGCAGAAATTAACAGGGTAGGATTTTTAAAACTCATAAACATCTCAATCTGAATAATTGGAAAGAGAAAATTGGCAAGTGTATTGGGAACTTTATAAGCCACTTCTCATGACATCTAGGCCCACCTTTAACTCTAGGTGTTACTACAAAGATCAGTACTGCTGGCAGTGCTGTCGGCTTCACGCAGCTTCCCCTCTGGTTAATGAAAGGCAGGAGCCCCTCATCTCTTCTCTTAGGGGTGAATTCACAACATGCTAGCATTTCTCCCCCAAGTACTTACACAAGTACTAACCGTTTCTCAACTGCTAACTGAAACGAGGCCAGAATTAAACGATAAATAGTGACAGACCAGAAGAAAAGCCTTTAATTTGGGTTTCATTAATATTATTAATGAATATTATAGTTAATATTTGTTAGTATTAACTAAAATTATTAAAATATGTTTATTTATTTTACAAATAATATACAGAATTTCATTGTAATGCTGACCTCCTTGTTAGAATGAACCAATGCATCAAGTCCAATTTTTTTTTGGCTAAATAATTTCAACAGAACTATATAACATGATAAGAAATCCTCCCCCTCACTTTTAATTTTAGACGGCTTTTAAAGCCATAGCGTTCAAAGAAGACCATATTGTGAGAAGTATTTGAGAGCTTTATCCTTATTTTCAATATACTCTATTAATCCTTAATTTCTAAGGAGCTTTTGTAGTTGTTTTGAGTTGTGATTTCAGTTTATCTTTGTAGCTTGTGACAATCAGGGAGAGACCAACATAAAAAACATGAGGGTTAAGCAGAGAAGGATTTGAGGGGGTGGGAGATTAATGGCATAACTTTCTTTTTTCTAGTTTTATTGCGATATCGTTGATATATAGCACAGTATAAGTTGAAGATATACAACATAATGAAGATATATATATATATCTATCTATATATATATATATATATATATATCGTGCTAAATGATTAGCACTGCAAATCCTTCTCAAACTCTTCCCAAAAACTGAGGAGGAAACAACACTCCCCAACTCATTTCACAAGGCCAGCATTACCCCGATATCAAGGCCAGATAAGGACACCACAGGGAAAAAACAGAACAAACAAAAAACTACAAGCCAATATCCCTGATGAATATAGATGCCAAATACTAGCAAATCTAATTCAACAGTATATTTAAAAGATTGTACACCGTGATCAAGTGGGAGTCATCCCTGGGATGCAAGGATGGTTCAATATATGCAAACCAATAAATGTGATCACCGCATGAATAGAATGAAAGTTAAAAATCATATGATCATCTAAGAGATGCAGAAAAGGCATGTGACACAATTCAAAATCGATTCATAATACAATCTCTCAACAAGTTGGGTATAGAAGGAATGTACTTTAACATAATAAAGGCCTTATATGCATAACTCTTTGTTCATTAGCAGACATTTTCATGTTGCAATGATTTTTATTTTCCTATAAAATCACTGAAGAGAGGACTTTGCTGATCAACACTCAGATAACAAGACCCAGGACACTCGGTTACTGTTGGCACATTGTATGTTGGTAAAGGCCCAGAGTAGCATCTAAAAGGACATCTACCCATCACGTACGTGGGTACTAATAGGGTAAGTATCTGTGTCAGTGTGGGATCAGTTTTGATTTATCTCCTCATCATGGGTCTTACTTTCCTAACTCTTTGCATGCCTGATAAAATTTTGATTGTATATAGATACTGTGATTTTTGTGGTGCGGGATATTCCTGTATTCCTAAAATATCCTTCAGCTTTGTTCTGGGATGGTAGAACAAAGTTCTGGAACAGTTTGAGTCTGTCAGAACTTCCCTTTAAGACTTGTTTGGCAGGAGCAGAGCGGCGCTCAGTCTAGGGCTTATCGTCACCCCCTGCCAAGACAAGGCTTTCCGGTGTAGTCTGCCTAATTCCCCGTGAGTCGTGAGGTTCTCCAGTCTGACTGGTGGGAAAAGAAATTATCCCCAGCCATGTGTGTATCTCAGGCACTTCTACTTCTGATTCTTTAAGGTTTTCTTTCCCCTGCCTGGGGCAGTTCACTCACATGCACGTGCCCATCAGTATTCAGCTGCACACTTGAGCGGGCCCTCTGAGGATCTTTGGAGTTTTCTCTCTGTGAAGCACTCTCCTCCCCGGTGCTCTGTCCTACAAACTCTAGTCTCCCAGGACTCTCAAGTTTCTCCTCAAATTACCAACCGCCACAATGGCACCGTGGCCTGGACACCCTCCGAGGACAGTAAGCTGGGTCAGTCACATGGCTCTCATCATTTGTTTCTTATTTCTTAGAACTCTCTGTCTTTTGTTTCCTGATGTCCAGAGTTTCACTTATTTTTTACCTTTTTGTTGTTTCAGGCATGGGGATAAATCAGGTCCCTGGTATTCTTTTTTTTTTTAATTTAATTTACTTAATGGAGGTACTGGGGATGGAACCAAGGACCTCTTGCAGACTACGCACATGCTCTACCACTGAGCTACTCCCCATGCCCGTCACTCCTTCTTAGCTAAAATTAGAAGTCCTCTGTATTAGAGTTTAAAAAAGAAGAAAAAGAAGAATATCTATCCTTCTATCTTTCTGTCTGTACCTATCTACACACACATCTGTGTGTGTGGTGTGTATTTTAAATCTGAATCCCACGGCGGGTGGGGGAGTTGTTTTCATCTCATCAGCCTGTTAGACTTTAGACCTGTTAGAGGTTTTCCAGTGCAGCCACTAAAGCTGCTTAAATCAGCTGCTGATGATTCTGCCGTGGCTGCTACGATCACCTCCTGCTCAGGGACCAGCTTTTGTGTCCTTTTCTGTGAACCTGAGAGTTGCTTTATGCTGCTCCCAAAAGTAGAACCTGAAGCTAGCTTATAGTTTGGAACAAGCATCTCGGGGATGCACTGAGGGA